TTGTATATTAATAATGGGGTAGAGGGTGTCACAGATAATAGTATTGATTCAAACTTTTTATTGGATCGATTATGTCATTAAACCAATACAAACAGGTGAAATCGTTGCACCATGCCATATGAATGATGAATGCTTCAAAAATTTGAAAAAAAAAAGGAGGATTTTAGTTTGACATGAAAATTGAACCTATGTTATCTAGATACTTCATGAACAATTAACCACTATATCAATCAAATTCTAGTATTTCACAACTAGACTTATTTTTATTATATTTTTAATTTTTAATTTTAAATTATATATACTTGGTAAAAAAAAAAGTTTAGGTGAACTAGGTCTTGAGTTAATCATCATAACCATTAAACCAACATGTACAATAATTTATAATTTTATATAGTATATTCTTAATTTAAAATTACATATTTAATTATGTTGTTCAACTAATTTATAATTTGATTATTTTGTCTGTATTATATTGACTACATTTTTATTTGAATACCTCTTTAAGACATTATAAATTTTATTTATTGATATTTATTGGTATGAAATACATATAACATGAATATTTTTAAAAAAAAATTAAGAAACTAAATCATATAATTTAATTAATGATTTACCGATTCGACTTTTAATCCACTAACCTAAATCGATTTGATGACTAGTCCAATATTTAAAACTTTAGTATTTGACCTTTTTATAAAAAAAAATATAAATTAAAAAAAAAAACTTAACAAAGCAGTTTTAAAAAACGATTAGATAAATTGTCCATCCTTATGAAATGAAAGTTTTGAAAGTAGGTCTTTTTTTTCTTTTCATTTTCTATCCACTCGTCTCTCTCGCCTCTCCTAGCTCACGAGTGACATATTTCAAGCTAAAAGAAATAAATACTACCAAATAACTTCTAATATTCGTTTCAAACTTTAAAATAGTCTGAAAGAAGTAAAAAAAAAGGCAAACATAGCCAAAAGGAGCACCTCAAATCCAAGGAGAGCAAGTGAACAAATATACAAAGAATTAATGTATAACTCTTGGTCAATGGGCTATAATAACTTGTTGATAAAATGAATATTTCCCAAATAAATGTAATTACATCAACAAAATCTGTGATTCCAGGTAAACACATTCTGTGTTTCCCCCTCCTTAAACTTTAGTTTCATCTTTTAAGTATATGAATGGTACCCCTGAACTCCGCAACCATTAAATGAGAAATGAAGACTCACTCTGGTTCTATTAGCCTTAACCTCAACAGTTGAACACAACATCATCTTCAAAGTTAATAAAAACATGGATAAAAATTGGATTGCTTCTTAAAAGCTGCTGCATCTGTAATGACCTGCACAGATTTGGTTAGTGCCTCGGCATCTTTCATGTCTGTGCTGCAACCCCATAGCCGAATAAGAAGTCGCCGGCATGTTGGAGACGACGGTTTAAAGTAAGTTTTGTACCATTCAACAACATCTTGCTTACTTATGTTACTCAATTCTTCTGCTTCCTTCTTTGAAAAATCGAAGATGTACCTGAAAACCTTAATGTTTAGTAATCATATAAACTATCATTGTAGCAACAAAATGCAGCTAAAAATGACATTTCCTACAAGACTAGCCTCTTTTAGTCCTCCTTAAACTTCTATCATGACTCGGAAGATATTGCTCCATATTAACAGTAATCAGAGATAACATAATGTGTACATAAAAGATATCTGACAGCTGGTTATAAACAATAACTGACAACATCAATAACTAGAGTCTAACACTATCATCTAGACCACAACATATATAAGGCACCTTTTGTCAACAATCTGGTTCCACAATCTATTGCTTTCATATGTGAGTGAAGGATCTTTCTCTAGCAGCTTTGCCATTAACCCACTTCTGTAGTTCTCAAAGGAATCACCATCAAGTCCATCCTGCAATCCCAATATATTTTTCCAAAACATAAGTCTTCATTTAGCAAATATACATTTCAAAAAGTACTTTAGAAATGAGAATCCAAAAATCTAGTTAAATTGTCAAAAACAAGCCTGTAGTCGAATAAGTTTGTAACAACAGTGCTCATGTCAACAGTGCTGTAAAGTTGAAGTGGCTAATAGTTATATTAAACAAGTTCTTTTGCCATATTTTATTTTCTTTGATTTGAAAACTCAACACAGAAAAACATAGTTTTGTACAAAGAGAAATATAAAAATTTATAGAATAGCATCTCTGTGTATGTGTGTGTGTGTGACTGTGTAGCATTAAAACAGGAAGTTGGTTTGAGATCTGGATGATAAACAATTCAAATTCAGGCTTATAAGTAATAACAATGTTAATGCCATCATAGGGGGTTTCAATTTGCATTCATTTCCATCTTTCTCCAAAATAGCAGGGCGGGCTTACTGTAACTTCTTATGTACCCAAATCATGTTAAGTTGTTAACTTTATGGCAGTTCACAAGGAAGCAAATAGGCTAAGAACTTGAAGGTTGGAGGAATCAGGAACACTCACCAGCAACTCTTCCAGGCCATTTAAGAAGTTCTCGATTCTACCTTGCAAGTAAACTGGGTTGTACTCAGATGACTGAATGCAGAAACAAAACCCAAAGACACGGTACGTTACTCGTGGGCTGCATTCAACAACATAACCAAGCTGCTCTTTTGTCCTGTATCCAGATACATGAATTTCAGCCCCCAAACAGACAAACAGAGAAAGAAAGACAAAGAAACATCAATCTAGACTGCAAGTGAATGACTTCATTGAATTTAAAAGCGCTTTCAGAAAAACTAGGATTCTATAACAGAATGGAAAATTTGATGCCAAATCAATACCACTTCATTTTCAAGTCACCAATAACATATAGCAGTTCACATAAATGCAAGCACAAGTACATTTTGCATGTTGTTTGCACGAGAAAATAAGAATTAACAAACATTCTCATCTAAAAGGCATGTATTTGGGCAAAGAATGTCAATCACGAGAAAACAGAAGAGAGAACCTATCATCATTGACAAATATCAGATGTCAAATATAAGAAAATTCAAGCAACAGATTGCCACCTCAGCTGATTAAAAAATGGCTCCTCCACAATTTCTTCGAAAAAATCAATCAAGGCTTTCAATTTGATTGACCTGATACCCAAATCTTGGTCAATTTGAAAATAAAGCTGCATAATTACCAAAACCAACATAAAGAGCAAGAGAAATTTGTCAGGGACCATTGAAAACAAATTATCTATGAAACACATCAGTGAAATAAAAACAAAAACAATCTAACTAAAATTACCTCAACCACGGAGTTTTTTTCCGACTTATTCTTCACACTGACATCTCTAACTAAATTGGCACCAGATGGGAGGCAAATAACACGCTCAGCATGCCTCAACTCAATAGGGAGTGGCTTTACTGGAAAATTTATCTTAAATATATTTGATATACTAATTGCTTCTTCTTTTGTCAGATTTCCATGGCATAGACCCTCAATGTATAGCTGCACGAAGTTCAGATATACAAGAATAAGTCTCCAACAACGTCAACAACAAATTAAAGACAAAACTAAACGAACCAAAAATAAGTTACAATTAACCTATGTTGACTTATCCATGAACTCATGTTTACAAATCAACTAACTGAAAACCAATAAATATAGGAAAAGTCATCAACGAGTAGTTGTTTTCTTGCAGTTGTTAGCATTAATAACCTCGGGCATAGGACTTCAATATGCCAAGTGTCAAAGTAAAGAGCTATTTGAACAACACAATGAATAAAGTTACAAGCTTCAAGCACAATAACAATTAACAAATGCCCATCCACGTGCACCTTGGGAATGGGCATGATACACATTCAGGGGCCTGTTGCTCACTAACGATATATGTTTTACTCCTGGAGCCATCATAATAGGAATTTGAAAGACAATAAAAATTGAAAAAAAAATATAATAGAAAATACTAATACTAAAAATTTCATATCAACCTGGGAGAGAAGCCCAGGGATAAATGCCTTCAGATCATCAATAAACAAATCATTTAGATAATGCAGCTTCTCATCAACATCATAGAAGCTCTCACACAAAATTTGCAATCTCAAATATGCTGAATGGCTTAGCGGCTTCATGTTGCTGTTCTTTAAAGTTCTCTTCATGTCTTCTTTTATTACCTGTTCAGATAATCATTGGTTCATAACAGCAATGAACGAATGTAGAAAAATTGAAGACAGAAAAATTAAAAGATGGTTAACATTTTTTAAAAAATCCAAATAAACAAATCACATACCTTAAAACGATCTTCAGTCGGCATGAACGATTTAGATACTGCAAAGAATTTAGATAACAGAATAGGAAGCTTCTCATTGAAACCATAGACCTTCAGCTCAAGCATGTCACCAACATAAGTGACAGAAGTATCTAACTTGGCAACACTAGCCTGCATCCATATTCAGATTTATTTACAACAATCTAAAAATGGGATGGGATTATTGACACCCTCCACTACTTTTAACCACAATTTCTTAAATTGACCCCAAATAACTGCAAATAAAAGTTGATTGGGATGTGAATAGACAATAAGGAGTGCCACTAGCCCCAACCCTAAAGATACCGTTTTCTATTGATCGACTTATGTAGTATATGCATACTTTATTCAGTAAATATATTAAAATGTTTTAATAAGCCCTCAGTAGTAAATCTTTATACTCTATTCTTCCTTTGTTAACATTATTATAGTAATTAAATCAAAGAAAAATACAACTTTGGTGATACTATAGCATTAGAGGTATTTAATAAGGCCACATATTGCCACTTCTTTCCTATAAGTGATATTAGAGGCCAGTTTCCAGTGGCAATATACTTTAAATAAATAAATAAAAAGAACTATTAAGTAAATTTTGTTCAATTGGAAGAGAAGAAAATTGAACTATAGAAAGTTATATATAGGCATTCTTCTGGACTCATTTTTCCAAAAATATTAATGAATGAGAGCATTTTATGATAGATAAAACTGACAGTTATCTGATGTAAAGATTAGCTTAAGAAGTGGTCCAAAAACAATTGAAATGGATAATTCATTCATGGAAAAGAATCTCATGAAAAATGCGAGCATTTTTTTTTTAAGTTATTGTTATTTTTCTTTTTCATACATCCTTCACAGAAAAACTGTATCTGAGCACAAGTTTGTCTTTTGTTTCTGTGCTTTGTTTATTTCTCTATTGTTGTCTGAGAATTTTCCATCCTCTTTTATTGTCCTGATTTGTATATTATAAACAGGATAGATGATTAACCTGATATGTGATTTCATTCAACTCGTCTTTAAGAAGGTGAATGAACAATTCAGATAAGACACAACTCCTCACGTCAGCATATCCACCCTTCAGGCTAATTCGAAAATATGTATTGGCACGAGGAACTTTGAAAGTGCTATCCGGCTTGTACCAGAATTTTATCAATGCTTCATCAACTATACATCTAGGAGAAGTTGAATTTGCAAAATCATCAACAGAAGTATCACTAGCACGTATAGAAAAGTCACTTGGAATAAACTCATTCTTGGAAGGAAGATGCAGTGAGGCATCAATTTCTGGAGGATTTCTCCATAACTCCATCAAATTTTGAGCAATATCTTCTTCAACATAACGTGAACCAAACCAAGGTTCATATTGGATGTCTGAAAAAAAAAATTAAGTAGTTCAATCATCTTGGTAAAAATATAACTTCCAGAACTAATCTTTGAACATTGAAATTTTGGTTGTTTTCTAATATTTCAAATAACAGGCACATACAGTAGTAGAAACAAATAAATCATCATGGAAGAGACGCCCCACCCCCTCCCCCACCACCAAAAAAAAAAAAAAAAATATTTCAAATAACAGGCACATACAGTAGTAGAAACAAATAAATCATCATGGAAGAGACGCCCCACCCCCTCCCCCACCACCAAAAAAAAAAAAAAAAGAAGCTATGATTACAATATCATTATTGAATAAGGATTATTAAAGAGCACAATGATAGCTACTTGTCAGTAGCTTAGACCTTTGACAGTCAATTAGACAAGGGAGAAAAAATAATGCACCTTCTGACTTCAGGAACAACTTTGAAACAACATCTACCCTCATGTTTTCAGGAGTGAAGAAACCAAGAACTTGTTTTAACAATTGTTCATCCCATGTCTTGTATACATAGTCACCATAAATGACATGCTCCGGTGGATAAAAGTGCATATTTTCTGCACAATTAAAAAAGAATAAACCAATAAGGACAATAAATTTGTAAAAAATCATATCAGATTTCTAAATAGCAATGTCCATATAGGAAACAACTACAAATACAAAAGGGACAGCAGACTCTTTCATATAATTGGGTTGAGAGCATAACAAATAGATCTTCAGTTTTTGCTGCAGACACTAATCTCCTTTCATCTGTACACAAGTTTGCTTTTTATCATGTACAGTTGATTATCAAATATTATAGCCCAACTGAGTGCTTCAATTAACTCCGGTTTATAAAAACATAGTTTTCTATCATTTCATGACAATGATCCTTCATAAATCAACATCATAATCCACTTAAATAAGCAGTGATTGGGATATGTTCTTGTACTAAAATTGCACCATTTCAAACAGCAAGATTTTCAAAAGGCACAAACATCAGAGGACCACTCCTCTCCATATATTAAACAACAATTTATACCAGAAAAAAAAAAAAAAAAAAGTTCGACTCTGTTGCCAAGAAAATAAACTAGAAACCTGCTAGCTCAGCAGCATAATCATCTTGAGGTTGCTCTTCTGCAAATCTGAAATCCATGTTTCCAATATTTTGAAGTTCCTTAAATATCCATTCTTGTGGAGAAACTTGACGCAACAACTTAAGGTATTGATAGACAAAGCCAATGATATCAAAGATCTGGGAAGTGAAAAAAAAAAAAAGTTCAGCCATATTGAAGTAAAATAGTAATGTTGAAATTTGAAAGCATATACTGAAAAAGATGTATTAATTTTTCCACAAAATAGTCAATAATGCTTTCATAAACCTCACATTTACAATTATTCATGAAAATTCTAAATCATTAAAACTCCCAAATAATAATAAAGCTGGAGCTGAAGTTAACCTTTTAACTTGACAAGTGATGGCTCGCTAAAAACACAACTTACTCTTTCATCTGAAGGGCCTATCGAAGTTAATAAAATGAGATTACCTTTTCTACACCAGAGTCAGTGAGGTGAATGGACATGACGAAGACATAAGCTATAGTTGACCGATAAATTCCTTCATCCCCAACACCTGCAGATAGAGATGTAGCCCATCCTCTGATCTTGAGAAAGGAGAGCAAGCTTCCTTTGCCCTCTGCAGGGTTAATTATACTCTTGTTAATGAAAACCACACCATAAAACTTCAATCTTAGAATTTTAGATTTAAATGAGAAATAGTACATATGAATCAACAATGAATATTACCATTAACCAGAAATGAGAATATTTGAGTGCAGAAAACAATATTCAGAAGTTTATCAAGCAGCACAAAACTTGTTAACAAAATTTGAAATGTCACAAGAAGAAAAGAAGGGAGAGAAATGCTAGAGAAGGAAGAGAGACTCTCCCATGTCTAATGAAGTATAAGTGTATTACTTTAATTTGCAACATAGATATACAATAAGATGCATAAAGATGAATGATAATAGATAACATGAAAAATATAAATTCAACTCTTCAGGATTCATCCATAATGAGATATCTTACCATGCCCAAGGAGATGAGCTAAATAATCCTCTGGCTTCTTTAAATACTCTTGGTGTAGACAGGGCAGTGTCCATGATAAGTCAAGGATATGAACATCTTTGACAGCTTCTAGCCAATAAACTTTACTAGATTTCCAGATAGGACCTTCCACTGTGAACACTGGGTTTGTTTGAGGACCTTTTATGACGGCACCAAACAGTTCCACAACCCAACTCTCAAGCACATCCAGAGACTCTGTTATTTATAAGCATGTTACTCAAATCATACCACCATATATCAATTTTAGTCCTACTCTTGAATCCTGACTAGAGTCATTAGAACAAATCATTTGTTTCCAATAGTGTATTAACAAAATTATTTACATAACATCATCTAAGTATTAATATGATGAGTCATTTTACAGGTGCAATTGCTCAATTTCAAAAAAAAAAACAAAAATCTTATCAACATTAAGGAGATGCACCTTAGCCCTTTTCTTATTCTTTCAATTAGAAAGATACTTGTGCATAAATCTTATTAGACAGGAAACTCAATTCCTTTTTCATTAGCATTTAGCAAGCTCTTCACTTTCAGCAAATATTTGCAAGAAGTTTCATTCAGAAAAAAAAAATGATTATATGAAGACCACAACTAATTAAAGAAGCTATATATGCTAAAAATTGGGGCATCTCCACATAAATTGAATTAAAAAAATTGGGATTGCTTGTGTGAAATTCTTTCACCATTTTCCCTCTACAAACAAGGTACAAAGTAAAACATGGATACTGGGCTGGCAATTGCTTCCTCAGCATTATAGTTTTTCCTAGGAATTAATATTATGGATAGAAGTTCTTAAGATTTTCCATTTTCTGTTTATTATTTTACCATGTTGCACTGTATCAAGAAATATGAAAAACTTGGGTGCAAGGAGTGAGAAATACTCTGAATGTATACTATTTCCCATATATTAGTATTTGCTACAATAGAACAAGTCCTCATCACTTTTATCTCTCGAAGCTATAAACATCTTTTGTTAATTAGCTCCTCTAGCCAATTAGCTGAGTGTGAGACATAAAATCATAAAGACCCCCTTTTTTTAACCACCTGCCTTTTAAAAATAAGCTTTCATCTACAACAGATTCCAATACAACTTAAGATTGAACAGAGATTAACTTTGAACAAATATTAAGACTGGTGAAATGATTTCACAGCTTCCAATAAATTATGAAGAGTAGCAGCTAATCTGTATCCGATGTTAGGTTTACTCAGAAACACTAGGCACATTATTGCTTGGAACTAAATATGACTATAATAAACTTGGTAAACTTCTTGATTCTACATGGAATAACCATATACAAAATAGTGAAATGGAACTTCACCTCCACCAATAACAACAAGCTTCATCAATCCACCATGGTAATAGTCCTTGTATAATTTCAATATTTGCTCCCGCAAATTAATACCTTTATCCATTGCATCAACCAAACTCTTTTTATTCCCTTCATGTATGTGAAAAAGAAATAAATATCTTTAGCATACAAAATAAGCTGAAAAACTAATTGACTAACAAATGGATGAATAACATATACAACTTACCCCAAAAGAATCTATTTAAAGGATGATTATGAGCAGAAGTATGACACTGAAGTTGTTGAAGACGGCAAGCATCACTTTGTAAAACCTGGTTGAATTCTATGTTCAGTGTTGTACACCATTATGGTATACAATTGTAAGGAAAAACACATTTCATCAGCAAACTAGCAGATAAGCAAGTTGGAGCTCTTTCTAAAGTTTTTCTTTAAAATAATAATAACATGGGAAAGAGGAAATCTGTAGAATTGGACTAAAATGAGTACCTGAATCTACTGCAAGTACTTCTCGTTCCATTGCCTCCATCTTTACAAGAGGTGAAATAAAGAACTGAGAAAATCTGATAAGGAAAGAAACCAATAAAAGGATTCAACAGAAATCTAGCACAATCTGGAGAATAGAAATTCCTAACGATCTTAATTTACACATTAAAAACAAAATGTAACAAACAAAAAATGTTGATATTTAAAATATTACCAACAGATAGTTTACTAATAAATAATTCTCCAACAGAGAACAGACATTAAGATGATTAAATAATTAATATGTAGAATCAAAGTCACTGGATTGATCGTCTATTAGGTCTTGTATTGTATTTCAATAAACACTAAAATGACTAAAATAACAAAGACATAGGACCAATTTTACTGTATTAAAGATCTGAAAATCTACCATTGAAATGCATACTAATTCTGTTTTACACTTTACAGTACACACTAATTCTGTTCTATGTTTTACAACACATGGCCAGTAATCTAATAAATAGTAAAACAAAAAAACAAAAAAAAAATTACTTGTATACAACTGCAATAGCTAAAATGCATTTCCAACATATGCATCATCACCGCATACTAGATACTATACAGATTTATATGTTGTTACTCGTTAGTAACCAACAACATAAGTACGAAATTAAATGCAACGTAGAGGAAAAAATTGAAAGCAGAACCTATCTGCAACAAGTAATGTGTATAATCACCTAATACTAATAGACATGAATTGTCCTCTTAATACAATGCATAGAAAAGTTTACCTTCTCAAGGCACCCTTCAGATACTCTCGCTTCACTTCAAAATGGTAGCAGGTATATTCAGTTTCTGTGTATGCATTTGATGACCCACCATGTTTGGACAAATAGCTATCATACTAACAATAAAGAGAGTCAGTGTCAACTACTAGGCCAATTAATCTATGTATGCTTCTTTCACATATATTAGGAATTAGGATTTAGGAGCACAACTAACCACAAGAAAAGTGAGAATTCAGTCCATACATACAGAGAAATTAATCAAATCAATCTTAATCAATTTTAAGTTTCTATAAGGAATGGTAAGGGAGATCAGTTGGGATTACGACTTAGCTAACTTGGGTAAAACCACAATATATGACATCTGACACATAGAAGCAATAAAGGATCACTTGTATTGCAATAATGATAATTGATAACAGTAAGGACTGCACAGTAAGTATTGGAAGTTGAAATTTTGGAAAGATCCTCCAGCGGCAATGTGGCATTCAGTGAAAAATTGTCAAGATTGCTGACATCCATAAAATCCTACACGGTGCCACACATGTAACACATTTGAATTGAATTAAAGGCTTCAAATAGTGAAAAGTTTCTTTACTAAAGACAGGTAATAATCCTGAATTTGATTTAGGCGAACACATGACGAAGGAAAATGCAATAAGAGGTGTACTCATGCATAAGTATTAAGTAGCATCCGTTGTATCTCATCTTAAATTATTATTATGTCATAACAGCAGATCTCAATTTCAGGTTTTAACTCTTTTACACCATTCTTTCTAAACCAAAACAAACATATTTTAGATAAATCATTTCCTCAATAATACATAAGGATCTGATCATATTTTCAAACAGACAGAAATAAACAAAGCACAACGTAGCCAAACAAACCTCATTTTCATCTGGAAAATCACCACTCCCCATGAAGAGCATGTGTTCTGAAAAATCAAATACACAGAATTCTTATTTTTAATCCCAAGTATTCAAAAAATGTCATCCAATGATAAATCAAAAAATGTCATCCAATGATAAATCAAAAAATAAAATGCTTACGACCCCGTTTAAACAAACTTATCAATAAACACTAATAGGAGAAGAAAATAAGAAGTTAAAATGAATTAAACTTCTCCAATAAGTTAAAAATCAACTTATGCACCTAAACATTTTAGAGAAGATAGACAATAGGGCTTCCATAAGAGTTACAGTATATAAGCTGATTTTAAATTACGGAAAAATTTACAATCTTTTTCTTCCCAAGAAGTTCATTCAACCCCACTAAAGGTGATGAATCAAGTTCTTTGATAGAGATTAATTATCAGCGAAGTAAGTGGATACTACCCACCAATAATATGCATATTAAAAAAATGACCTAAATGAAGTAAATTTCCAAACCTAAAAAATGTGCTAGTCCCTGCGCTTCATACGGGTCAGAGAAGCTGCCCATTCCTACACACATAGCTGCAGCAGCCTGCAACCAACAAAAACACACGAATTCATTCATTCATTTAATCACATTCAAAACAACAAAAGCAGCAAACCAAATCACACACAGCACAACCGTCCACTCACATCAGCACATTCTCACACATAACCCAGATCCCATCTACGCCAAAAAAGACCGACCCACGAAGCCACGAGAGCGGCACCTCGTGAAACGAAGCTGAAATCGAAATGGGCATTCACAAAAAACCAACCTTTTTGCTCTGAGCAGCACCCCCCTTGACCCCATCCATTTCATGTTCAGCTTCACCATCATCATCATCATCCTCCTCATCATCATCATCATCATATTCCCCTTCTTCTTCATCATCATCATCGCCATCTTCTTCTTCTTCTTCCTCTTGGACTTCATCGGCACCCTTGGGAGGGCCTTCGGGGTAAATCTCGGGATCGTGAACGAGCAAGGCGCGGAGGCCGTTGGGGAGGTTGAGGAGGCGGTATAAACGACGGTCGTTTGGGGACTTGAGAACGACGTCGTCGTGGTGGGAGAGAGTGACACTGACACCGACACCCTTCTTCATTCCCATTATAATAGGCTTCTTCTGGAGACAGTGGGAATGAAGTGAAAGTGAAAGTAAATTTTGTGTTTTTGTGGTTTTCAAGGTAGCGTGAAGGAAGGGTTGTGGAAGTGGAACTCCAACTATTCTTCTCTCTTCGTAGTAGGGTAAGGGTGCTCTTAAGTCTATGCTCATTCCTATTCCTATGGATAACTCGAACTGCTTCCACATCGATTGGGCTTTTTTTTTTTTTTTGGTAAGGAATGAAATTTAAAACAGCAAACAATCAAGATATAGAGTCTCTCCTTAGTGCTAACAGGATAAAATCAGGAGGACTCCTCCAAAATACAATGGAACCTACATTCCGTACACCCCAATTAACAAGCGTATGAGCTACTGAATTCATCTCTCTAGGGATATGACTTACATAAACAATCCAGTCCCTAGCTACCATGCGCTTTATCCGGCGAATCACATCATAGTGCTTATGCAGATAGTCCCTATCCAATGGCCGGTCTTGAAATAGCGTAACAACTCCCAGGTAGTCGCATTCGCAACTCACCTTTTGAAACCCACCGTCCCAACACAACCACAGTCCCTCCTCTAAGGCTAACAGCTCAGCACGTAACGCATCACCATGTAGAGCTCCATGCGAGAAGCCACCCCGCCACATGCCTGCACAGTCTCGAATTGCTCCACCCATCCCCATAGCAGAGGTTCCACTCAGCCAACTCCCGTCCGTGTTCAATTTGACCCATGGATGCTCCGAAGGCCTCCAAAGGGTTTGCTCCACCCATAATCGCCTCTTATCGTTATACACAGTGTTCTCCACCGTAGACATTGTCACCTTCCGACGGACCGCCGAAATCGTCCAAAGCTCACCGTTAAACAACATATTATTCCTAAACCGCCAGACCCACCACAAGGTTATGGAGAGCTTAACAGCATCAGTGTGCAGAATAATCCCCTTCAGCCACTAGAAACAATCCATTACAGAGAAAGACCACCCCACACTGGTCCCGCCAGACATCAGCACCTCCCGCGAATATGGACAGTCACGAAGTGCATGTAAAATAGTTTCATGAGGGCAAGAGCAGCGCGAACATGCACCAGACTCAGCCAATCTCCTATCAGCCCGAACCTGATTCGTTGGAAGGGCTGAATGAAGACCTTGCCACAGAAAGAGCTTAACCTTCTCCGGGATCATTAACTTCCAGATCTTCTTCCAAACTTCATCCCCTTCGGCCGACAACCCGGTAGTCAGGAAACGATACCCAGATGCCGCTGTATAGCAGCCCGAACTATCACCCCTCCAAGAAAAATGATCCAGCCCCAAAGAGGAGTTGACGACACTCAACCCTTGGACCGAATGTATCAGTTCCGCCGAAATAACAGTATACAAGGAAGTGAAATTCCAATGACCATTAACCCAACAATCTGCAACCGTTTTGGTGGTGTCTGCAATGTGAACGAATGGAACTCTCCCGCACCATAGCCCAGTACCTGACCAGTCCGTGTACCAAAGGGATGAGGCACCCGATCCGAGCTGAGGCTCGAAGCCCTCACGAAGAGAAGGAAGGGCCTTAATAATACTTGACCAGACTGCAGAAGCACCCCGCCTCTTTTGAGCACACAGGATAGAGTCCCTATGTAAGTATATATTACTAATGATATGAACCCAAGGCTTCTGTGGAGCCATAAGAAGATCCCAAATTAACTTCCCAAGTAGTGATACATTCACCCTTCGCGCCTCCCTAACCCCAAGGCCACCGAACGCTTTAGGTTGAGTAACAACATCCCAACTCACTGGGGACCAAAACCGTGTGCTATCAGTTTTTGCCCAGAGCATACGGCGACAAGCCTGATCAATTCTGTTACACACTGATTGAGGAAGCCACAATGTTTGCATGTTGTGAACTAGAATAGAGGAGATGACGGACTTTATCAGACACAACTTACCTGCCTTATTGAGAAGCTTGGACTTCCAAGCCGCAAGTCCATCGATTGGGCTTTACAAAAAAGAAAATGCTTTCTATATTTTTCTTAACACTCTTTTAATTAACTCAAAAATAAGAAAAATATTTGATTTTAGAGGTCTCATAAATGACTTGGTTTCATAGACTAATCCAATGATATGTCCAACTAGACTTAAAAAAATGTAGCCCGAAAATAATTCGATTATGGAAGTTAAATCGGATCACTAATTGTTTTATTCATGACTTATTGAGGTTAATGGATCAAGTATTTTTTAGTTTATTAAAAATTAAAAAAAAATAAGACGGGTCAATATGATACAATCAAATAGACTAAGTGTGTGTTTGAATCGTAATTAGAAAGGTATCAAACTCTTGTTTATGCATTCCAAAATATAAAATGGGGAAGTAACAACACTGATAGATTGAAAAATAAAAAGTATATCACATTCAACAGGATGGTAACCTAAATACATTCTAAACTAAGCTAAAAATAAAGTGGTTCATAAGAAAATTGAATTGGATTCAACTAATCATATAAACGACATGTGCAAAGTAATTGAGCTTACCTATTTGACAACTCTATAAGCTTTCACTTTCTTACTAAAATGTATTTCATTTTTTTTCATTTTAATAGAAGAAAAAAAGAGGATATTCTTGTTCACTTTGATAGCAAGAGTATGATCAGAGGATAAGGGGAAAGACTACAAATTCTTCCTCGCTCTAATCAAGGTTTTGTTTGATCTACAATAAATTAGAAATAAAATATTACACTATAGAAAAAAAAATTATAAAAAAAATTAATGAGTTAAAAGGAATCTTAAAATTGTATGATTCTAAATATTTGAGAGATTTATTTGTTCTTAAAAATGTTATAAATTTTTTTTCTCAAATTCAAGAAATTTTTTAATGAAATAATAAAGTGTTAGAAAATATATTGTCAGAACCTCTCATGTACTTTAACTACCCCTCCTAACTTGAGTATAAACATCATTAAAAAAAAAAAAAGCCTAATTCACCTAGTAAAGAATAAAAAGAGTAAAAGATAAAATTATAAGTATTTGAAAAGTAAGGGATAAATTTTACCTATATTTAATATCGACAATAATTTACTTTTCTTTTTTTGCTTATTTTTTGAATGAAATAGAATATATAATATAATATATTATTATATAATCTAATA